GATCTTGGCTGGACCAGCAGCTGTATTGCCACTGCCCGGGGACCCAGCTGGGAGGGGGGCTGGTTCCAGGGCACTGTTCCCTGTCCCAGGGTGGTGCCTGTAGTGGTTCAGTGCCTGGGCTTGGGAGTGAGCAGATCTGAGCTGGGACCTTGACTCTGTCCTGTACCATCTGGGTGACTGTGGCTACCGCTGGACTTCCCTGGGGCCCTGTGTCCTCTTCCATGAGGTAAGAATGAGGATGGTCTGTATGTCATGGGGCTGTGGTGAGTATTGACACAGATGTGGAATAGAAAGCCCTTTGACCATTGTCTGATGGGGTCATGGTGATGGTAGTAGTGATTGATGGTGGTGATGATAATGGTGATGGCAATGGTGGTGATGATGATGGTGGTGGTGATGGTGGTGGTGTTGGTGATGATCATGGTGATAGTGGTGGTGATGGTGGTGGTGTTAGTGGTGATGGTGGCAATGGTAGTGATGATGATCGTGGTGATGGTTATGGTGGTGATGATGGTAGTGGTGGTGGTGATGATAGTGGTGGTGAAGGTGGTGGCATTGATGATGATGGTGGTGATGGTGATAGTGGTGATGATGATAATGGTGGTGATAATGGTGGTGTTAGTGATGATGATGGCAATGGTAGTGATGATGATGGTGGTGATGGTTATGGTGGTAATGATGGTAGTGGTAGTAGTGATGATGATAGTGGTGGTGAAGGTGGTGGCATTGATGATGATGGTGATAGTGGTGATGATGATGATGGTGGTGGCGGCAATGGTGTTGGTGATGATGATGGTAATGGTGCTGATGGTAGTGGTGACGATGGTGTTGGTGATGATGATGATAGTGGTGATGGTGGTCGTGGTGATGGTGATGATTATGATGGTGATGGTGGTCATGATGGTTGTGGTGATGGTGATGATGGTGATGGTTATGGTGATGGTAATGCTGATACTGGTGATGATGGTGATGATAGTGGTGATGCTGGTGGTGGTTCTGGTGGTGGTGATGGTGATAGTGATGATGGTGGTGGTGATGATGATGATGGTGGTGTTGGTGATGATGATGGTAATGGTGGTGGTGGTGGTGATGGTGTTGGTGATGATGATGATAGTGGTGATGGTGGTTGTGGTGATGGTGATGATGGTGATGGTGGTGGTAATGATGATACTGGTGATGTGGTGATGGTGTTGATGATAGTGGTGATGCTGGTGGTGGTTCTGGTGGTGGTGATGGTGATAGTGATGATGATGGTGGTGGTGATGATGATGGTGGTGGTGGCAATGGTGTTGGTGATGATGATGGTAATGGTGGTGGTGGTGGCGGTGATGGTGTTGGTGATGATGATGATAGAGGTGGTGGTGGTGGTGGCGGTGATGGTGTTGGTGATGATGATGATAGTGGTGGTGGTGGTGGTGGTGATGATTATGATGGTGATGGTGGTCGTGGTCATGATGGTTGTGGTGATGGTCATGATGATAGTGGTGATTCTGGTGGTGGTGATGGTAATAGTGATGGTGGTGGCGTTGATGATGATGGTGGTGATGGTGATGGTATTGGTGATAATAATGGTAATGGTGGTGATGGCCATGGTGGTGATGATGATAGAGTTGGTGAAGGTGGTGGTGTTGATGATGGTGGTGATGGTGATAGTGGTGATGATGATGATGGTGGTGGTAGTGGCAATGGTGTTGGCGATGATGATGGTAGTGGCGGTGGTGATGATGATAGTGGTGATGGTGGTTCTGGTGGTGGTGATGGTGATAGTGATGATGGTGATGGTGGTGGTAATGATGATAGTGGTGGTGATGGTGTTGATGGTGGTGATGATGATGGTGGTGGTGATGGTGGTGGTGATGGTGATAGTGATGATGGTGGTGGTGGTGGTGATGATAGTGGTGGTGGTGGTGATAATGGTAGTGGTGGTAGTGATGGTTGAGGAAGGGCTGAAGTAGCGGCCCCTTGGGATGGCACAGCTGGTCCCATGCCTTCCTGGGTCCCAGAGTGCCTTCCCATTGCCTCTTCACAGGGTCTGCTGAAGCAGGCAGGAGGAGGGCTGAGCTTTACAGAGAGGGAACTCAGGCTCTAAGAGGCAGAGGGAGTCAGGAACGGGAGGAGGTGTTCCGGACATAGTGGGCTTCTGCTCCTGCCCCTGCTTGTGGAGGCCAGTCCAGTTGCCACACCAGTGCTTGGTGGGCCATCCTGGGAAAGGAGTGTCTGGGTAGGCCCTGGGGGCATCTAGCGGGAAGAGACTTGGGAACATGGAGGCAGCTCAGACTCTGGAGCCCAGTGGACCCATGTTTGAATCCACCAATGCCGTCACCTAAAGCAAGTCCTCTCATCTCTGTGAGGCTCCATCTGCAGACAGGTTGGATCCCGGGGGGGCCCCGGCTACCAGCCCCCCAAGGTTTCCAGCCATGGGAACGTAGGCAGCTGGGGTAGGAACTGGACAGGAAAAAGGAATTTCTGGGCTGACTTGGGGGCCTTGGGAGTGGGAAGCGGGTCAAAGAGTGTTGGCCTAGGCAGCTGCTGAAGACAGGCCAAAGGGCACCAGAGGCCGGGCGGGCAGTGGGAGCAGGTGAGAGGGTGGAGGCCGGGCGGGCAGTGGGAAACCCTGTTGGAAACCCTCCCGTGGCTTCTGCTGCACCCGGGGTAAGAGCCAGGCTCCTGTGCGCTCACACGGGGCCCTGCCAGACTCTCCAGTTCTGTCCCTGTCCCAGGCTCAGCCACACTGGCCTCATTTCTGTTCCTTAAAGGCACTGAGTCCAGTCTAGCCTGTCCGCTTTTGCACATGCTGTTTGCACACACACGCCTTTGCACACACCAGTCATGGCTGGTGCCTTCTGATTCTTGTTTTTCACTTAAATGTCTCTTCCTTTACAGAGGGCAGTGGTTTCTCTCTACTCCCACCTCTCTCCCTTGTTTATTTACTTCCCAGCACTTTTTGTTCATTTAGTCAACAAGTATTTATTGAGCATCTAGTATGTTCCAGGCACTGTTCCAGTCTCTGGGGATATAGCAGTGAATGAAACAGACCACAGTCTGTGCTCTCTTAACAGCCTTCTTTTAGGTTGAGGTGACAGACACTAAATCGTACAGATATAAATACATAAATTATGCACTGTGTTTGATGGCGATAAGAGCTATGGAAAAGCAGAAAGAGAAATTAATCGGTGGGTGTGTCTCTCTCCCTTGCTGGAGTGTGGGCTGAATGGGGGCTGGTGCCAAGTCTGACTCATTCAGCAGCAGAGCCCCAGAGCCCACGCCAGTGCCTGCACATAGTAGGTGCTCATTGCACAAATGAATGACTCAGCAGGGCCTGGAAGAACAGGGCATGGGGAGGAGGAGGGGAAGGTGCTCCAATGAGAGGGAACAGGCAGCCTGCCTGCTCTAGGGCCTGGGAGGTCCGACTGGGCCGGAGCGAGTGGCCAGTGGAGGGAGTGGTGGGCTCCGAGGCTGGTGCAGCGGAGGGCAGACCGGGAGCCGTCCCAGCGAGGATGTGTTTCAGCCCGGGAGGGTGACACGTGGCAGTCCAGGGTGCCTGGGAGCTTATGTAAGGCCCGTGGCTGTTTTTCTGCAACCAAGAACAAAGCCCCGAGCTCAAGAGAACTCTGCCTGCCTGACCAGCCAGGGGAAGTGGCAGGAGGCGCCAGCTCCCGCCCATTGCCCCCGGGAGCTGGACAAATGTCCAAATGCATCAGCTCCGGGCAGCTTAGCCGACAGCCCAGCAGCCGCCAGCAGCAGCCGGTGGGCACCAGGGATTTGGGCCTCATCTCCCACTCCCACTGCCCAGCCTGGCACTGCTGGGGTTCTAGGGCCCAGGGGACCCCAGCGGACAAGGCTACAGGCATCAGTAGCCTCCTGGGTGAGGTGGCGAGGGGCTGGCCTTGGGAGTGGCTGTTCTTCCTGCCTGTTGCTGGCCCACTGTCGAGTCTCTTGGCCAGTGAGGGCACCGTCAGTTGTCACTAAGTGGGCTTGGAGGGCTGGTGCTGGGATTCTGGCCTCTAAACACCACCTGTTGCTATACTTGGCTCATAGTGCAGCCTTGGCAAGCCACGCCCTTCTCTGGGACTCAGTTTCTCCATCTGCCAAATGGGTACAATAATCTTCCTGAGGTTTTTGAGAGCATCAGATGAGACCAGGGTGTAGAAGGGCCCCTGAGCCGGGACCAGAACCAGCTATATGATTTACACTGCCCAGTGCAAAGTAAAAATATGGGTCCCATTGCTAAAAAATTAAGAATTTCAAGTTGGTGACAGCAGAACATTAGAGCAAGCGCAGGGCCCTGCCGAGCATGGGGGCCTCTGCAGCTGCCCAGGCCACAGACCCGGAAGCTGGCGCTGCATGGAGTGTGTCTCTGCTGTCACTTGCCTGCATGTCTGTCTTGTCCTTTTTCTGGGCCTCAGTTTCTCCACTTGTAGAGCAAAGAGGTTGGCCTCTAGGATCACTGGGTTCTCAGCCTCGTGAGGCAGAGGGTGGGAGGTCCCTGGGTCAAGGGCTCAGCTACAGGTCTCAGCTCGGGGGTCACCCCCTCAGGGAAGCCCACTGTGATTCTTCCCTGGCTTGCTGGGGTCCCCCAGCACCTGATTTCATAGCACCCCGACATCTGGCACTGTCCTGGCAATAACGTCTGACTTTGCAATAACCTTCTCTTTTTTCTTGCAAGTTTTATATGCCTTTGAATAGATAATATGTGAATTGTGGATAAACACACAACTCTAGTTTTGTAAAAAAAAAAATCACAATTACATTCTAAAAGGTTTTATTCTCTCTGCTCTTTCCATTTGCCAAAACTGAGGCTGGGCCGGGTCGGCCGGGCCTGCCTGTGACTGTGTACGAGCCTGGAAGCAGATCCCGACGTGGGTGCGGCTGGGCCCTCGGCCCCCTCCTAACATGGGCCTGCGGGGCTGAGACTGGGCTGCCGTAGCTTGGGGGGGGTGGAGTGCAGGTTGGGCAGCGGGTGCGGGCTGCCCCCCATGTGCCGCCCTCTGTCTCCCCAGGGCCCCCAGCTCGGCACTGACATGGCTGAGAGCGCCTCGCCGCCCTCCTCTTCTGCAGCAGCCCCGGCTGCTGAGCCGGGGGTCACGGAGCAGCCCGGCGCCCAGAGCCCCCCGCCCTCCCCGCCAGGCCTGGAGGAGCCCCTGGATGGAGCCGATCCTGATGTCCCACACCCGGACCTGGCGCCCGTTGCCTTCTTCTGCCTGCGGCAGACCACCAGCCCCCGGAACTGGTGCATCAAGATGGTGTGCAACCCATATCCTTTGTGCAGCCCCAAGGTCCCCTGCCCGGGGGCCAGCGGGGACTGGGAAGGAGCTCTTTTCTGAGAGCCCCACCTGCCCACGCCTTCCTCTGGTTGGGGGACCTGCGGCCTGGGATGAGGTCGCTGGGCCTTGGTGGTGGGGGTAAGCGCAGGTGGCGGGTCGGGGGAGACATTGAACCCCTGAGGGCCTGGTGTTCTGCCGATGGGAAGGTCTGGAAGTCGCTGATGGCTGTGGGGGCCGTCCAGGGCTGGCTGGCTCAGGCTGTGGGTGTGAGCCCAGGTCTGTGCTGGGGCTGGTGGTGCAGGTACGTCAGCGCCTGGCCCAGACCCAGGGGACAGTGACCACACGGTGGTGAGGGCCGTGACGAGGAACTGTGGCTGAGGGTCAGGGCAGTGGATCCCGACACACGGGGCGGGACTCACAGGCAGGGGGGCCCTGCACGCCCCCTTTCTGCCTGTCGTGCCTCTGTTTGGGGCGGGGGGCAGCAGCAAGCAGCGTCCTCCCAAGTCTTCCAGCCTCCACCTGCTGCCTCCAGCGTGCTCGTGTCACCCCCTGCTTGCAGCTCCTGCACCAAGGGGTCACTGTCCCCTTGGTCTTTACCACCCTTTGCGCCTCTACCCTCAAGACGTGTGAGTTGTGGCCTGGGGTTGGGGACCACAGTGAGGCTGGCCCAGGAAGGGGGAGACGGGGTCCCGATCCGGGCAGAGCTGGGCTTGGCTCTCCTCTGTCTTGGGGAGCCCTGGGCCCGAGGGGCGGGGCAGAATCCAGCCCCCGAGTCAGGACTTCTCAACCCTGGGAACTGCTCAGAGAGAGGGGGGCTCCCCCAGAACCCCATGGCCAGGAGCTGCCAGGCTGGGTGGGGGATGGAGGTAACTCAGGTCTCAGCCCAAACTGGCTTCCTGGACCACTTCTGGGCTTCCTCGGACCAGAGACCTGGTGATTCCAGAGCCGAGTGACTTCAAGAGCATCAGGCTCCGGGACACTCAGACTCGAGGCTTCTGTGACTGACACTAAGGGTTCAAAGTTAAGATTTAAAGCTCAGCGACAGTCATATTCTAAGCTTCTGTGATTCAAAGGCTGTACAATTCTGTGTTTCAGAGAGTGTGTGAGGCCAAGGTTGGGTGGCTGTGATGCCGTGTGCCCGGGGGTGTGACTCGGGCGCTGTGACTGCAGTGCCACCGGCCTGAGCCGTCATGGCCTGTGTTGGGCCAGCGGGAGCGGAGCCGCGCAGGGCTGTGCCCATGCAGGCCGGGAGACTGGTGTCCACAGGGGGTCCTGGAGCATGGATCTGATCACGGGGCGCTCAGGGCGGGCGTTAGGGGCTTGGAGGTGGGGTGTGTGTGTGTGTGTGTACGTGTACGTGCAGGGGTGTCTTTGATCAGTGCCGAGGGCTCTGGGCTTCTCTCCCGGCCAGAAGCCTCCTCGCTTCTGCTCTCAGCGGGAAGGTCTGGCGGTGCTTACCCTGGTGCTTCTCAGTGGCCTTGGTGGCGTGTTGGCTGTGGCAGCGTTGTGTGGACTGGGCCGTCTTGCATGCTAACATGTAATGACAGGCCCCTGGGCACTCGATCCTTGTGACCACTACAAATGCCCCTTCGCATGTCCACACCCTGCAGGGGCTGGCTCTGTCCCCACGGAGAACCCACCGGCATGGTGCACGCGTCGGCCTCAGGCTGGTGGGAGCAGTGCTCACGACTGCCAGGCCCAGGAGGGCGTGGGGCGGTGTGGGAGGGTCCGCCGCAGACAGCCTGTCCTGAGCCTGTGTCCCTGGAGCCGAGGGGCCCTGGCCCAGAGCCAGCTGCCCTTTGAAGCTTGGTGCTCCCTGACTCAGCTCCTCGCCCAGCCAGAGCGGGGCCCTGAGTCACCACTGACTCACTGGAGAGCCAGCAGGCTGCTGGGACTCTCCCCGAGCCTGCGAGCTGGGGCGGGAAAGGGCCACTCGCCCAAATGTCAGCGCCACTCCCTGCCTGGCCTGGGCCCTGGGCATGCGCTGTCAGCTGGGGTTTCCGCTGGGAGGTCTCTGGGTTTGAAATGTCAGGGCATAGACTGCTGTTTGACTCATGGGGTGGTGGCATGTGGCACCGAGGAAGGTACTGGGGCCCTGAGTCAGACAGACCCCGAGGCTGGTTCTGCCTCTTGCTGTGTGACCAAGAGCCAGTTTCTTAACCTCTCTGACCCCCCAGTTTCCCCAGTTGTCAAACGAGAGTGTTAATACCCACTTCACCGCGTTGCACTGAAGACAAAGCAGTACATAAGGCAAATGTGACCTGATAGTGCAGCTTTGGAGGCTAGAAAAGCCACCGTGCATGTGGCTCACTGCATATCGCTCTGATTACTTGCGCTTGAGCGGCGAACAGGGTCCTCACGTACAGCTGAGTCAACACTTTGCTTGCAGTAGATTCAATTAGACGTTGTGCGACAGGTCTTTAGATAGAACACAACACCTTCAGAGGACACTGTTTCCAAGGAAAATCAGATCCAATCTCTGTTACTTAGGTGGATTTGTGAGTTCTGCTGCTAGTATCCATGCCCTCGTCAGTGCAGACATTGCTAATTGATCACAGCATTCTCCAGCAGGGCACCCCTGGCAGCCATGACTAATTGGTTGGAAACCTGTTTTCCACCCTAGATTATTAGTCTTTCAGAGCCTTTCTTAGGAGCATAACTGGCTGCATGTGGAAGAAGGGCCAGTGGTGGGTTGTACTCACTTTCCTTTCACCTCCCTGAGCCTCAGTTTTCCCATCTCTGAAATGGGGCCATTCAAGGTGCTCAGAGGTGCTTCCTATAAAGCACCCAGTGGTGTGTCCGGCATGGAGGAGATGCTCAGGGGTGCTGTGAGAGCTGACGCCTGCTGCTCCAAGTGCTTGCCCGCCTCACCCCTTCACCTCTCACAGCCACCCCTGCAGATAGATGACCTCATGGCCCCATTTTGTGCATGAGGAAAGTGAGGCTCAGAGAAGTCGAGTAACTTTTATCCGGGGTTGCACAGCCAGAGTGTGGTAGAGCTAGGGTGAAAACCCTAATTTCTCTGACTTTCAGGCCTGGCTTTTATCCAGGACACCACTGCCACCTGGAGAGACGCCAGTTCCTCATGCCCCGCCCAGGGCAGGGAGGTTTGCTTTGCAGGGTCCAGGCAGCCGGGCGAGGGCCGCCCTGGTGTCCGGCATGTGTGTTCCTGTGGCCCTTCCTGGGGGGATCCCCTTGAGGAGTTTGCAGCGCCCCCACCCCCATGCTCCCTTGATAGCCAGTGCTGCTGCTGGGGGGGCGGGGGGAGGGGACCAGCCATGCATGGCGGAAAGCCAGACGACTGTGAAGGCCGCCACCCCACTGGGGAGGGGAGGCAGGAGACGCCAGCTGCCCATAACCTTGGCCGAGTCATTCCCTGTTCCTCGCCCTCCACTCCCTGTCCGAGGGGTGGGAGGGGTGGGCAGCGGGTCTGGAGGGGCTGCCAGGCTGTTTCCCTGCTGCCCCCCTTGTGGGTAACCTTGCTTGCTCTGTGCCTTCCCAGCTGTGGTCCCATGCTCACCCCTGCACATCAGAGAGCACTGGACCAGGAGCCCAAAGCTGTGACCTCTGCAATCTCTGCAGCCTGGGTCCCACTGTCTCCTCCCCCCTCACCTTGCTCCCCAGGGGTCCCGGGGCTCCGTGTGTGAGTGAAGGCAGTTTGTTAGCTGTCACAAGTGCTGCGTGTGCAGGAGGGGCTGTTTCCCTCCCTGCCTGCCCTCCTTCGCTCGTTTGCTTATTCTGTCCCCACTCTGGCCCCTTCGGTGCTCCCATTGCACCTGAATAGTCTAACTAGCCTGGACTTCGGGCTCTCCACGCCCCACCCTCCCTCTCCCTCAGCCCCACCCCTGCTCTCTCTCGCCTTCCCTGCCTGGCAGCCCTCTGGTCTGAAGCCCAGGCCAGCTGTGGAGGCTCCTGGCACTTTCCCTGCTCCCTGCCAGACCTGCCACCTGCGACGTCCTCCCCCAGCGCCCACGAGGCCCAGTGCCCAGACACCACCCGCAGGAAGCCCTCCTGGATGCCCAGCGTTTCCCTCTCCTGACCCCTCAGCCCTGTCAGCCCTTCTCTCCCCTGCATACGGCGGCTGTCTGCTGCTCCCTTTTTCTCTTCCCCGGCTGTGACACCCAGAGGGCGGGGCCTGAGGCTCCGACTTTATTGGCTGCGTGTCCACGTCCGGCACAGGCCGGGCGCATGGGCTCGTTCCGCACTGCCAAGTTCCCAGGGTCCTCCAGGTGGCTGGGCAGGAGCATGCCGACCCTCCATGCTGCGGCCGGGGAGACCGAGTCCGGGGAAGGGAGTGTGACTTGTCCAAGGTCACACGTTGAGTAACTGGCAAAGCCGGGGCAGGCCGGATCCCAGAACCCCAGACTCCGGGGCCAGTGCTGCCCCCGCCCAGCCTGCTTGTGGCTGGGGCAGGACTCGCTAGCGGGGAGGCGTCCCCGCTGCCTTCCCTCCCGGCTGAACGGGAGCATTCGCGTGGCACGGGCATTGCTGGAAGAAGCAACACATGTCTGGGAAATTGTCCGTTCCCTCCATCTGGTGTGGGGAAAGTTGTTTTTCTCAGAAATAAAAGCCAGCATGGAGCACTGTTCCCAAGGGTGCTCCTGGTGGCCGGAGAGGACGCTGTGCTCTCATGGGTCAGCAGGGTGGGCTGGGGAGAGCTGGACCCCCGGGCACCCTCAGGGACCCTGGCAAGGAGATTTGTGCCTGAAGAGAGCAGGTGTAGGTGCTGCCCCTGAGCCCGCCTGGGGACATTCAGCCTGGGTCTTGCTGTACGGATAGGAGTATTCCAGAACAGTTGAGGGACGGTGGGAGAGGGCAGAGGGAACAGTGTAGAGAGCAGTGAGGGGTTTCGTGTGGCTGGAACAGCGTGAGGCAGGCCTGCATAGCAGGGTGTTCAGTGCCAGGCCAGAGTCACACTTGCTCTTACGGGCCCTGGGGCACCGCCGATTGTGTCCAGGATGGGACAGGGGCAGATTCATTTATTAGAAGG